GCCATCGCCTCGCCAAGCTCGTTTCTCTTTTTTTGGCGTTTTAGGGCCATAAAATTGGAATTCCGCCTGATTCCCAGGTTTTTGTGTGATTTAGCCCACACCATCTGCATGGGTTTGGGCGACCGGACCCGGTCGCCTAATATTTTTCCGGCCCATCAAAAAGAACCTATAGAATAATAGCCAACGCCTCGCCATGAACGTTCCTCGTTTTATGGAATTTTAGGGCCACAAAACTGGATTCCGTCAGATTATCAGATTTTCGTGTGCAATAGCCCACACCATCTGCAAGGGTCCGGGCGACCGGACACGAATCGCCTGATATTTTTTCGGCCCATCCAAAATGACTTAAGCAACAATAGTCATCCCCTCGCCATGACCGTTCCTTTATTTTTGCGACTTAGGGCAATAAAACTGTAATTATGCCTGATTCCCAAATTTTCATGTGTTATAGCTCACGCCATCTGAATAGGTTCAAGCGACGACCCTGATCACCTAAAATTTTTCCAGCCATCAAAAAAGACCTAAGAAACAATAGTAATCGCCTCGCCGTGACCGTTCCTTCTTTTTCGGCATTTTAGGGCCACATAACTTGAATTCCGCCCGATTCTCAGATTTTTGTGTCCTACAGCCCACTCCATCTGCATGGGTCCGAGCGAACAGACCCGGATCACCTAATATTTTGTCGCCCATAAAAATAACCTAAGGAACAATAGTCATTGCCTTGACATGACCGTTCCTCATTTTTGGAGTTTTAGGACCATAAAACTGGAATTTTGCTCGATTTCTAGATTTTTGTATGCTATAGCCCACGCAATTTGCATGGGTCCGGGCGACCGGACCTGGATCGCATAAAATTTTGCTGGCCCATCAACAACGACCTAAGGAACAATAGTCATCTCCAAGACCATTCCTCATTTTTTTCATTTTAGGGCCATAGAACTAGAATTTCGCCCAATTCTCAGATTTTCGTGTGCTATCGCCCACGCCATTTGTATGGGTCCGGATGACCGGACCCCGATCGCCTAAAATTTTGTCGGCCCATCAAAAGCGACATAAGAAATAATAGTCATTGCCTTGTCATGACCGTTCCTCATTGTTTGAAATTTTAGGTACGTAAAATTGGAAATCCGCCTAATTCCTAGATTTTCGTGATCTATAGCACACACCATCTGCATGGGTCCGGGCGACCAGACCCGGATCGTTTAAAATTTTGTCGTTCTATCAAAAACAACCTAAGGAACAATAATCATCGCTTTTCAATGATCGTTCCTCATTTTTTGGCATTCTATGGCCATAAAACTTAAACTCCGCCCGATTTCCAAATTTTTGTGTGCTATAGTCCACGCCATCTATATGGATTCGGGCGACCGGACCCGAATCGTCTAAATATTTTCCGACCCATCAAAAATGATCTAAGGAACAGTAGTCATCGCCTCGCCATGATCGTTCCTCATTTTTTGGCAATTTAGGGCCCAAAACTAGAATTTCGTCTGATTCCCAGATTTTTGTGTGCTATAGCTCATGCCATCTTCAAGGGTCCAAACAACCTGCCCCGGATCGCCTAAAATTTTGGCGGCCCATCAAAAACGTCATAGGGAATAATAGTCATCGTCCCTCCATGACCGTTCCTCGTTTTTTGGCCTTTTAGGGCATAAAACTGGAATTTGCCCGATTCCTACCTTTTTTTGCGTGCTATAGCCCACGTCATCTACATGGGTCTGGCGACGGACCGGATCGCATAAAAAATTTTCGGCTCATCAAAAATGACCTACGGAACAATGGTTATCGCCTTGGTATGACCGTTCATCATTTTATGGCAATTGAGGGCCACAAAACTATAATTCCGCTAGATTACTAGATTTTCTTGTGTTATAGTCCACGCCATCTGTATGGGTCTGGGAGACTGGACTTGGATCACTTAAAATTTTTCCGGCCCATCCAAAATGACCTAAGGAACAATAGTCATTGTCTCACCATGACTATTCCTTATTTTTGACATTTTAGAGCCATAAAATTGGAATTCTGCCTGATTCTCAGATTTTCGTGTGCTACAGTCCACTCTATCTGCATGGGTCCTGGAGACCAGTCCTGGATCGTATAAAATTTTCCTGCCATATAAAACAACCTAAGGAACAATAGTCATCGCCAAGATCGTTCCTCATTTTTTGGCGTTTAGGGCCATAAAACTGGAATTCCGCCCAATTCCGACATTTTTGTGTGTTATAGCCCACGCCATCTGCATGGGTCCGGGCGATCGGACCCGCTCGCCTAAAATTTTGCCTGTCCATAAAAACGATCTAATGAACAATAGTAATCGCCTCGCCATGACCGTTATTTATTTATTAATATTTTAGGGCCAGAGAACTGGAATTCCGACCGATTCCCAGATTCCCGTGTGTTATAGCCCACGCCATATTCATGAATACGGGCGACCGAATCCGTATCGCCTAAAATTTTGACGGCCCATCAAAACGAATTAAGGAACAATAGTTATCACCTCGCTATGACAATTCCTTGTTTTTTGGCATTTTATGACCATAAAACTCTAATTCTGCCTGATTCACAGATCCTCATGTGCTACGGCCCACGCCAGCTACATGGGTCAGGGCGACCGGACACGTATCATATAAAATTACGTAGTCCCATAAAAACGACCAAAGGAACAATAGTCATCACCAAGAATGTTCCTCGTTTTTTGGCGTTTTAGGGCCATAAAACTACAAGTCCACCCGATTTCCAGATTTTTGTGTGCTATAGCACATGCCATCTATATGGGTCTGGACGACCGGACCCAGATCGCCTAAAATTTTGCTTCCCCATAAAAAATAACCTAAGGAACAATAGTCATTGCCTCTCCATGAGTGTTCCTGTTTTATAGCCCTAAAACGCCAAAAAAGAGGAACGATCATGGAGAAGCGATGGGTATTGTTCCTTAGATCATTTTTATGGGCCGAAATATTTTTAAGCGATTCGGGTCCGGTCTCCCAGACGCATGCAAATGGCGTGGACACGAAAATTTAGAGATTCCTTTTTATGGCTCTAAAATGCTAAAAAACGAGGAACGATCATGGAGAAATGATGACTATTGTTCCTTAGGTCGTTTTTTATAGGTCGACAAAATTTTAGGCGATCCGGTTCTAGTCACCCGAATGCATGCAGATGATGTACGCTATAGCACACGAAAATCTGGGGATCGTATGGAATTCTTGTTTTATGGCTTTAAAATGCTAAAAAAAACGAGGAATCGTCATGGAGAAATAATGATTATTGTTCCTTAGGTCATTTTTATGGGTCCACAAACTTTAGGAGATTCAAAGGCGGTCGCCAGAATTCATGCAGATGGCGTGGATTACATCACACGAAAATCTGGTTATCGTCTTGAATTCCTATTTTTTTTTACCATAAAATACCAAAACTGAGGAATAGTCGTGGGAAAGCGATGACTATTGTTCATTAGATTATTTTTATGGTCCTGAAAAATTTTAGGCGATTCGGATCCGGTCGCCCGAATTCATGCAGATGGCGTGAACTATAGCACACCAAAATTTGAAAACTGTTTGGAATTCCTATTTATGGCACTAAAATACCAAAAAAAAGGAACGATCATGGCCAAGCAATAACTATTTTTCATTAGGTCGTTTCTTATGGGCTCGCAAAATGTTAGGAGATTCTGAGCCGGTCGCCCGAATTCATACAGATGGTGTGGACTATAGCACACGACAATTTGGGAATCCTCCTAAATTGTTGTTTTATGGCTCTAAAATGCCAAAAAAATAAGGGACGGTCATTGCGAAACGATGACTATTGTTCATTAGGTCGTTTCTTATGGGCCCGTAAAATTTTAGGAGTTTCGGGTTCAGTCTCCCTTATTCATGCATATGGCAGCACAAGAAACGTCGAGAATCGTCCTGAATTCCTGTTTTATGGCCCTAAAATACTAAAATATGAGGAATGGTCATGGCGAAGCGATGATAATTGTTCATTAGGTCATTTTTTATGAGGCCATAAAATTTTAGGAGATTCGGGGTCGGTTGCTCGAATTCATGCAGATGGCGTGGACTATAGCATACCAAAATTCGGGAATCGTCCTAAATTCCTCTTTTATGGCCCTAAAATACCAAAAAAACGAGAAACGATTATGGCGAATATATGACTATTATTCATTAGGTCGTTTTTATATAGGTTCGCAAAATTTAAGGATATTCGGAGACGGTCGCCCGAATTCATGCTGATGGCGTGGACTATAGCACACAAAAATCTGGGAATCGTCCTGAATTCCTGTTTTATGGTCCTAAAATACCACAAAATAAAGAACAACACATCAAAAATTTTAGTAGATTCATGCCAGCCTAAATCTCTATCCAGCTCCAAAGGCTTTAATCTAGTAATAAAAGCGCAACACATGATATATGTATTAGATGTACATTACGAGTTCGAACTCTACAACAGCCAAAACTCTGTAATTAAGTAAAGAATGATTAAGAGTAACCAACAACTATCAATCATCGAGTTTCTAACAGTACTTAATGGTATGATCAGTGGTCAAGTGAGCACAGTTATTTGATACTTTTGCTGATGGCAAATGCAGCTACCTAGTGAAATAACACAAACTAGCATGAACACCTCCATCATACAAAAAACAAAAAAACAAAAAAATGACGCAACCTAAAAAATATTTTACTACTCTGGTTTTAAAAAAGAATGACATATTTTACTATTAGAATTAATTTATTTTACCCATTTTACTTTTAATGAGAAATTTTATAACTACACATATCTCATAGCCCCATAAAGCTTTTAAGGTCATAAATTTCAAAAAAAATAAAAATAAATTAAACTCCATACCGAATCAAACTAATTCATCTAAATTGAAATGGAAGGCCTATTTATTTCCCTTCTAATTTTCCAAAGGATGCAAACTAAAAAAAAAAACGATGAAAAAAAGACGACACGTGTCTCAAATCTCAATTATTAATATAGTACGTACAACCCTAATTCTTCTATGATAAAGAGAGTCACGTTCAGTACTTGTTTTGCTCATCTTCAACAAACATCTTCAGTGATTTGAGTTTCTTCCTTAAACTGTAAAAATGGAAACTAAGCCTACAGAAATCAGCAGCTCCAAGATGTTTGGAGGTTACAACAAGAGATATAAACACTTGAGCCCAACACTTGGTTGTTCTATGAATTTCCACATCTTTTTCCCTCCTTCAACTTCCCCTTCTCACAAGTTCCCTGTAAGTTTTCCACTTTTTTATCCATTTTTTCAAGAACCCATTTTTGAATTATCTATAAACTACCCATTTCCATCTTGGATTTATGTGTTTTAGTTGCAAAGTTTCATTTTTTTTAGCTCAATATTGGAGTAAAATGGGCCAAATGTGCCTGAATTGAACAGTATGATAGTAAATGATTTATGTGACTGACCTCTAGGATAATTCTTGCTGAATAGAATCATCTTTTAACTACCCATTGATTAGTTATCAGCTTGGATTTATGGGTTTTACTTGCAAAAATTTGTTGTTCTTAATTTTATATTCCTAGTCTTTTTGTTGCTTTGTTGCTCGAGTCAATGTCTTTGATTGATCTCTTCTTGTTACCTTATCAAGTCAATTCTTTTGTTAGTATGTTCTATTTTCTTGTTTTTTGTGCTTCTTCCAAATTTTTGTGACAGTTTTTGACAGGATATGTAGTTTAAGAAAAAGAGAAAGATTTTTGAAACTTGTAGTGTAAAAAAGCTATAGACAGATGTGTTGTTATAAATCATCTTTTCAATTATAAAATGTGAATTTTGAAGTTAAATTGTTTCTCAATATGGAAATGTGTCATTCCTTTTGGGATAGACTAAGAAGGAAAGTGTGTTGCATAAATTGGGACATACGGACTTACGGAGTAAGGTTTTTGCTAGTGTGTTATTTAGCTCAGAATTAGACTGAAATGGGCCAAATGGGCTTAAATAGAACAGAATGATGATAAAATGATTTATGTGACTGACCCCAACTAGCTTGTATTGAGGCGTAGTTGATTGATTGAATGTGTTCTTGGTCCATTCAATTGAATCAGTTTGATGTTTGTTTTTCTCCATTTGTTAAGTGGTAGGAGTGTATTTGCAATTGTTTTATGTGGTGCTATGTTAACTGATGCCACATTGATTTTGTTTCATTGGTGGACCTGTTTTATGATGGTTATGAATGTGATCTTACTGGTTAGTTATGTTTACTGATGCTGTATGGCTGCACCAATTTTTAGGTGCTTTACTGGCTCTCTGGCTTAACTTGCACGGACGAGAACTTTATAGCTAAATCTGGTGCTCAACGTGCTGCTTCAAGTGAGGGTGTTGCGCTGATTGTTCCCGATACATCTCCAAGTGAGCTTCTTTCATGATGTTGACTGTAAATCCTCTGTGCCTGTATGGTGAATGTGCATTCATTAGAGATGTTGCGAGTATTTCAAGTTTATTCTAGCCATATCAGTTTTTGCATAACTTCCTTATTTTGATCTGAGAAATATGTACAGAACTCATTTAGATTGGAAGAGGCTTTGGCTGTCAATTTTATGTTGGACATGCTTTTGACTCAAAACTACTTAAGACTCTGTTTAAATCACTATATGATAGAGGTTACCTGGTTATTCATTTTCTAACCCTAGTATCTTTTAGAAGATGCTATACTTTTATTTGTGATCGTCAATGAATACAAATTTAAAGTTGTTACCTGGTTATTACATGTCTTGAAGCTCTTCAAGGTAATACAGAATTTGACAATACATAAATACTCAAAGAAAACAGAAGCATTACTTCTACTGAAATGTAATGCCTTTATTCTGCTATTAAAATTAACTTTTTTTAATGTTAAAGTTCATAGTGGAGCATCAATAAGCTGCACTTGACCTAGAAGAAATGTGTGTTCCGTCTCCCGCTCTTTGCTTAATTCCCATTGGGCCGCTTTTTCTTGCATTTTTCTCTTTTGATTATCTTAAAACATTGTAGTTAAACTTTCACATAACTAGGAGGGCTGGGGGTTTTACGAATGACAGAAGCGTTTATTTCTCTTTTAAAAAAAAGAAGCCTTTATTTCTCTTCCCCACATTTCCTTTTTTTTTTAAAAAGAATCTTGGATATTGTTGAACAAATATTTGTCTAAATATGGATGTTCTGAGCTTATGCCTAAGAATGATGTAGTGCTTTGACCAGATTTGTTGCTTGTTGCATCTAAGCTGTTAGATGAACAGGTCAACAGGGAAGCATATCCTATTGAGAAACCGTTTTATTTTGTGTTATAGTATGTTTAGTCAGATAAAATCTATTGGTGTAATGTAAATTTGGATCTTTGAGACCTAGGTTTTGTGCTAGTTAAGAAACTACATTTGTGAGGAACGGGATCATACCGTACTGGTTTAGATGGTGGGGCCCAAGGGGTGGATTGTTGAGTGTACACCATGTAGTCATATGTGCTGGAGTTTACTGTCCTGAGCAGAGCAGTGGATGTAGTTCTGTTGCAATTAAACCTTATTAGTCAACTCCCCAGCCTCTCTACGAGTAGGTAGAGGTAAGGTCTGCGTACACACTACCCTCCCCAAACTTCACTTGTGGGGTTTCACTAGATTTTTTGTTGTAGCCAACTAGGCAAATCTTGAGTTAGGCGATGAGGCTGCAAGCTCTCATATATGCATGTAATGTGTGTGCAACTGAAAATTAGCAGCCTGCTATGTGATGGTAATCTTTTTAATCAAGCTATTCTGATTTTATACTTTGTACGTATGGGCTATAAATCTAACTGGGTATTGCCTGTTCTTATTACAGGAGGCCTGAATGTGGAAGGAGAGTCAGACAGCTGGGACTTCGGTGTAGGTATGTGAAAAATATGTGTCCTTATCGATATGTATAAATGATTGACAGGGAGTACATACTTATTAAGAGTTTGACATCTGATGACCACACGGACCATGTGGGAGTTTCAAGGCTTACCTTATGATATGTTTCTTCATCTCTGCTCTATATGTTTTCCATTGATGAATCAGTGATGGGGATAGTTATATGGACAATTTGATTCGTTCGCTTATATTTGAACTCCCACCGATATGATTTATATGCTTCCATATCCTGTATCTTTCCCCCTCATTCCCAAAGTTCAAGGAAAAAAGCGAAAAATAAAATAAAAAAATTACATACTACTAGAAACTAACAAGAACGGCTGTTTTTCCCGATGTCCTTTTTTCCCAATATGAACTTGACATTTGCAGCCGGAAGTACGTACTAAATATTATGTGTAACACTGGGAACAAAGGATTCTAATTTCTTCAGAGAAAAGTGCCTCACATTTCCTTTTAAACTTCTGTTATGCTCCATTAAGGAAATATGATCAACCATACTATCCCTTAATTTCTCTTACACTTGAATTACTTTTTCAGAAGGAATGGGTTATTTGCAGTGCCATCTAAGTTTATGATAACTCTTAGCTGAGATGCTTTGTCTGAGTTTTTTCATAAGCTGAATTGGCAATGTATGAGAAAGTTCAAATTTATTTTTTGGAATAGGTGCTGGTTTCTATCTAAATGCTACACAAGAGAAATGGAAGAACTGGAGGATGTATGACTATGTGGTCAAAGAATTGCCGGCACTTCTTCTTGAAAACTTTCCAGAACTTGATACATCACGCGCATCTATCTTCGGTCACTCTATGGGTGGGCATGGAGCACTGACAGTCTACCTGAAAAACCTGGATAAATATAGGGTAGTTCTCTGGGAAATTTATGTCTCTACATATGAACTGAATTTTAGCCAGCAACTGACTGATTTTATTTGGTTCTGAATACAAATGTTTGAAATTTTGAACATTGATGTGTTATCATCCGTTTTAAAGCTTCTTAAGACCTTTAGTTTCCATATGAATTCATGCAGCATTCACACATCATTTTTCTTGTTTTCTTTCCAGTCAGTATCTGCCTTTGCTCCTATTGCAAATCCTATTAACTGCCCCTGGGGCCTGAAGGCTTTCACAAACTACTTGGGTGAAAATAAAGCTGATTGGGAGGTACGGTCTTCAAGTTTTTCTGCATAAAACTAGACATTCTTGATTGTGTCTTCATCTTATTGGGATGTTAAATTATGAATATGCAGGAATATGATGCTACCTGCCTTATATCAAAGTTTAACAATGTCTCTGCTACCATTCTTATTGATCAGGTACGGCTAAATCTCTAATATAACGGATGATTTTCTCGAATTGAGCCTTTGAGTAGTTTGTTGTTAAAATGTCTCTCTATCTTCTATTTACAAAATTATTAGACATGAGCTTTCTGCAGTTGGTCATAGAATGAGTACAACTGAGAATAGCATCTTGCTCAATTCTGTTGCATAGAAGTCTTCCACCTTTACAAGTCTATTGAAAAAGAAAGGTCTCCCACGTCTATGTAGCTTCTCCTTCTCTTGCTTTAATCGGATCGTTGCCTTTAAACTGGAAGAAACAGAGCCCTTGGTAGCTCGTCCTTGTTATTACAAAAACAGCTAAGATTGTGACAATTTGAGAGCTTAGATTTGGCCGTACATGAAGCTTGATGGTGTTGGATAAAAGTGGATGCTCATTTGACCGGTGTGAAATTTATCAGCTAGTGATAATATGATACAGTTAAAAAGACAATTTCTCAGTTATGTCTTTTCAGGTTTCTAACAGTGTCCTCTGACCAAAGCTAATTAGGCTAAGGAGATACGTCCTGACACCTATCACGCCGACACTTTTTGGTCTTTAAAATCCCATGACCATAAGAGATGGAACTACTAAGTCTGGAGGTGATATAACTAATTCATATTGCCACATATATGTAGCTATTTGCTTTGTGGAGGAAATAGGACAAAAGTATAGGTTCATGATTTTGCATATTTTGAATTAGAATTGATTGTTGGGAACTTGTGACGAGGAACTGTGTGCGCTGTCAAAATTCAACTTTAGCTGCTTTCACCAAGAAAAGCATTGTATTTTGAACTGCTGAAGGGCAAATAAAAGGACACCATTGATGTATTATGATCAATGGTGACGGGTAAGGGCTGCGTACATACTACCCTCCCCGGACCCCACTTGTGGGATTCTCACTGGGTTTTTTGTTGTTGTTGTTGTTGTCTCTGCTTGCAAATGTAGAATAGAATGATTCCTAGAATGACCTAACATACTTCTCAATTTATTTGAACTTCTGATTGTTTTTATAATGTAGGGAGAGGATGACAAATTTTTAAAAGATCAATTGCTCCCACATAAATTTGAGGAGGCATGCAGAAAGGTTGGCGTTCCTTTGCTGGTGCGATTGCAACCTGGTTATGATCACTCTTACTATTTCATTGCCACCTTTATTGATGATCACATTCGGCATCATGCCCAAGCCCTTAATCTTTGATTTGGTTAAGCTTCTGCTTCTGTTGAAGATTTTCTGGAAATGTAACGAGGGACGACTTAAGCAAGCTAATATTGGTGCACTTTTCGTGTGGCAGAAAGTATGTTGAGGTACTTAATGAGTTGTACTATCAAATAAAAGTGTGAATTTCCTCTCACATTCTGTGTGTGTGTTTCCTGTTACTGTTTGTTCATTTGCTATAACTCATCAGTGGGATGATGTAGTAGAGTTAAGGATGTAGTAGAGTTAAGGATGTAGTATAAGTCTATCAAGTTTAGTAAATAGTTCAAATCCATCATCAAGATCAATGAAACATGACATAAGCTTCCTCTTAAAGCTTTAAAATTTTGGTGTGGTCCAAGAACATCCACTCTACTGAAGATTCAGTCATAAAGTCATCTGAAGCGTGTTTTTCAAGAAACTGCTTGAGTTAGCAAAAGTGACAACAACCTAATGAGTATGAATAAGATCTTTTACGATCTTACCGTTTATTATGATTCAATTTTCCTTAGTTTTATGTTATGATGTTGCTGCGAAATGTTATGTTCAGCTTGTCAAAATATGGATACATTTTTTTCTAGCAATTATTACAACTAAAATTTTATAACACTTTGAATCACTTCAATCTAACATGGACTCTAGGGGGGTAAAAACTAACACCACTAAGGGCGTGTTTGGTATAACGGAAAAAGTTTTCCGTGGAAAATGTCTTTCAAGAAAATATTTTCTTGGAAAATAAGTAGTAATTTTATTCATTTTCCGGTGTTTGGTACACAAATTAAGAAAAATAATTTCTCAAGTGTATTCATAAATAATTTAGATACAATAAACATGAAACCATAAACTTTCGAACCCACAAATTTCATAAATTTCCGAACCGCTAAACTTTCAAAATCGCGAACTTTCGAACCCGTAAACTTTCAAAGACATAAACCTCCGAACTCATAACTTTGGAACTTGTAAAATTTTGAACTTGTAAACCGAAAGATGAAAAAACTAAAACTGAAAATATATAAAAAAATATTTTTTTTTGTGTGCAGAAAAAATAACAACAACATCCCAGTGAAATCCCACAAGTGGGGTCTGGGGAGGGTAATATGTACGCAGACCTTACCCCTACCCCGAGGGG